GACAGGACAGAGCGGAGTTTAGGGCTGTTGTGCATAGGGTCGCTATGAGTCACAAGTGACTCGATGGCACATAACAACAACAACAACAGCAAGGGAAAATTCCAAGAGAATGAGCCTGTTTTTTGCTGGACTTCTTTTTCCTAGGCCCTGAGATCACCAATATTCTCTACCAGGACTGTGCCCCACATCCCAATTTTAGATCACAGAAAAGCACAATATATACAAGCCACAGATGTATAGCTTCTGCAAGAAATAAGTCTGCACTTTTGAAAACCACTGAGATAAGGCAACAACCGTTTGCTTACTTTTATGAATTGTTTTGTTGAAAACACACAGGAATTAAAAAAATTATATGTACAATTCTGTCACATCCTCAGCTGTGTTTTCTAAATTTCACCACCATGAACATAACTCACTGGCCTCTACTCTAATATTTCAAATTGCTTTTGACGATTTGCTCACATCTTGGCAAAATGCTCAACACAAATATAGTGAAAAACTGTTTGCATTGTTATTCTCTATTGAAGACTTTTTAATCTGCTTTAAATAAACTTTTAAGTCTTAACATTGATTTCAGGGAGCCATCCATCCTCAGTGACACCAGGAAGTCTGAAATCTATGATAATTTGAATTTTTTTCACATTCTCTCCTTATGATGAGCTGGCGCAGACTATTTGTTAGTGTAGCATAGCCAGTCATACTCTGATTGTTGCTATACTTTTAAGAGCTATGTTAGGATACTGAAAAGCTATGCTGAAGAGCACATGAAACCCCCAAACAGCACATCCAAACCTCTTTCCACAATCTAAGCAATAAAAAGAAACACATAAATATACTCTAGGTCTAATGAGAATATTCAGTGCACATTAACCTTCCATTCACACATTCTAAGAAGTGGTCATTATCTATCAATTTCTTCAGACATAGTGTGTATTCGTAATTAATGTTATCAAACTAAACATTCATGAATGATTGATTGGAAAAAAATAATACCCTTTGTAAACTTTCACTCAAATCACACTAAAAATCTTAAAAAAAAAAAAATCAAAACCAAACCTCCTCATCTTTAAAAGAAAATACAAAGTAATCCATTAAAAAATTAGTTACTGGAGGGGGGGAAACATCCCAAGATTACACAAATTAAAGGTCAGCGAAGAACAAGAATGTGAGTAGCGATTTAATAATAATTAAATTGTTAAAGCAAAGACTATCTACTGAGAGAGAAAAGAATTCATCTTACCTGGTGATTAAGGAGACAATGTACTAAAAAGAGCACCACCCCCTGCAGGACATTGATGATGGTGAAGAGGTAAGCAATGATTAACCCAGCTGTCTTCCCTGTTTCTTCAACCATAAAATAGCCAAGACCCCAAGAACAGCCCAGGATGAACAGCTGAGCAAATGCTTTAAACATCATGACTCTGGGAAATAAAATGAGTAAAAACAATCACCCTTTTCAGTTACATAATGAGTTCTTCAGCTATACAATAGTTAAACACTCCACTGTCAGGAAAAAGGGTGCTGGTTCAAACCTACTTAGAGGTACTCCCCAAGAAAGACCTGGTGGTCTACATCTGAAAAGTCAAAGTCAAAGAAAGGACTAAGGGTCACAATTGTTTCTGACACCAATGGAGTCACCATGAGTTTAAATTTATTAGATGTCAACTGTCCCATTTTCTCTCTTTTTTTGGAACATTTTATTGATAATATATTTCTTGTTTATTTGGAAGATATTCATACCTTTTTTATTTTTGTAAATATCAAACATAATTTATTTGCATCGTCACAACCAACCCTTCGTTGAGATACTCATATCTTTTTTATTTTTGTAAATATCAAACATAATTTATTTGCATCAAGTCACAACCAACCTTTCGTTGAGTTTCTGAAGCTGTAAATAGGAAGATACCTCCCATTTTCCCCCTGCATCTTATAACTCAATGGCACATACCAACATATGCGTTCACGTAATACATTGTTGTCTTGCACTCTTGAGTTAGAATCAACTCACAGCTGACTCGAGACGATTTTCAGAGGCAGTAAATCACTCAGGAAAGATTTGAGCATCTTTGTCTCACAGAGCATCTGGCAGATTCTCCAACTGTGTACTTTCGGATTGACAGTGCAATTCCCAACCAACTCTGGTGGCCAACTGGGAAGGAGCTGCACTGACAACCCAAAGGCACATGGTTCATATCCAACAGCTGCTCTTTGATTTATTGCTTCTGAAAACCCATTGAATAATCAGATATTGGGGGGATATAGATGGATAGTTGGATGGGTGCTGGTGGAAGGATGGATGGATGGATGGATGGATAGATGGATGGAGATAGATGATAGATAGATAGATAGATAGATAGATAGATAGATAGATAGATAGATAATCTCCATTGTTGTTGTTGTTGTTATGTGCCGTCGAGTCGTTTCCGGCTCATAGCGACCCTATGCACAATAGCCCTAAACCCTGCTCTATCCTGCGCCAACCGCACTGCCTCTGACACACCCATCCCGATTACCCCAGTCACCGAATCAATCCATCTCATAGAGGGTC